TGAAAAACAAACTCTTCACAATCCACATAGCTCCTGGATGTGATTTGAACCTATGCAGTTAGCATTTACACGGTTTTAAAAAACACATTTTTTTAATTTGGACTTCTTAATTTTAAACAACTGCATCAATCTTTAAAAACAGTCTGTAGTGGCAAAAAGAGAAATAGCTGTTTAAAAGAAGACAACAGGACAAGTATGTGTGTGTAGTCTGTTTTATTATTAATGATTTTTTTCCACCTGTTTTATAGAAAAATGGTGAAATGATTCCATGCTTCTACTAGTCCATTGTCTACATTGCAAAAATTAAGATGGAATGACTAGACAGTTTCTGAAACTTTTGTATGCAGTTCTTGAAACTGCTGGATTTGAAATTCTTGTTAAATACTTCATGTATTGTATTTTGGGCAATTTTGGAGTCTGTATTGTATTTCCAACTCCAGTATGGCATCTGCCACTAAGAACAGTTTATTCAAATTATTTTTGTCATAGGAACGTCATATTTAAGAAATTGTTGTATCATGATTAGGAAAGATTATTTAGTTTTTGTGACACTACATACTGCCGCAGCTTTACTAATTGTTGTTCTAAAAAGAACCCTATATATTTTCATTAATGAAATCAACAACACTAAAACTTGATTCATTCTTTTCCTTTTCACTTTTTAATTACTGTTGCATGACTCTCTGACAGTGTACAGTATCTTGTCATGAGTGTAGCAGGAGCTTCAGTAACTGATAACAGAGGCAGTAGAGTGGACTGTATTGCTAAGAGAACCACTGTGCATTCAAGCCTGCAGAAGATCAGCTGTCTCTGCTAAAACAACATGCTTCTAGGATGACTGACAATAATCTGTTTTTCTATAACCATGATCAAGCAAGTAGCCTTCTGTACAGATCCTCAAGTGCTTACTCAATTTTCTTGTAGTTGTGCATTTGAAAGGAATTTGTTTTAAAGTATTTCAAGGCTGTCAGTATTACAGAGACAGAAGATGAATTTCCCATATCAACCTCAATTTGCTGGAACATAGGGCACATTATGTGGATTCGTGATAAAAAGTTAAGCTGATTCCCTTGGGTGTGCTTTCTACCCTACTTCCAGAATGTCTTCAGCAGCAGCACAGGTGGTCCTGTGATTTGTTTTCAGATGTTTTCCTGCCAGTTTTTGTCCCCAGACAATCTCTCCCTGGGTTGAGATGAATGGTAGTGTTTTTTAAAGGGAGGCAGTAGGAAAAATGATCAGATGTTGTCTCAATCTGATTCACTACATACGTGCAGATTGTTCTTCAGCAGAGTGGGTTTTTTCGGAGATGGTGGGAAATTTGATAGACAGATGCAGGGTAAGGAAACTGGGTCTCTTTAAGCAATGTGATGACTCAGTGTGAAACCAGAGCCACATGTTTCTTCAAACTTGTTAAACTGTAGTACCATCGAAAGAAATTTATCCTCTGCCCCACTCCGTGTGTTTAGAAAGATACAGTAAGTATATTTAGTTACCTGTAGTTTTAGATCAAACAAAAAGTTGAAAGAAAGCTGGGACTGCTTCCTTTAGAGGTACTTTCAGCTTAGGAAGGCTTAAAGTATTAATGGCCCATGGCTGCATAAGTTAACTTTAAGTAAATTAACAACTCATGACATAGAGAATTGCCTGTCAGCAGTGGTTTCCAAATAGTTGATTTTATAATGGGGCAAGGGACAGAGCAGATGACCTCTTGATAAGCATCCAAGACTTAACTTGCTGTATTTCCAGTAGGGAGTAAAGGGAAGGAAGAGTCTGAGGAGCTAACTTGAAGATTTTTCTTTTTGATTTGACTTGCATATGTCAGATTGTTCATACTTCTGCTAATTGATTCAGTGTGATGTCCAGAGGCTTCTGCTTGGCTTGAAACAACATTAGCTTACAACTCAGTAATTTAATAGCTGAAATATATTTCAGGCCTGTGTAGATGTTATTTTTGCAAGAAGAAACCGGCTGGCAAGGAATGTAAATTTGTATTGAGTTCAAGTGGCTTTTATTAATTGCCATTGCAACCACTGATCTTTCACAGTGATGTCCAGGGTGTCTAACTGATATTAAACTTTAAGATAGACATGTTTGTCTCCTAATAAATCCAAAAACCTCTAACTCTTATTGATGTCTATACTTCATTTTGGTTTATAGAATCTCTATTGAGACGCATTTCTTTACCTAATACAACTGCTTCACCTGCAGCAGTTTTTTCATCTGATGTGTACTTATGTAAAGTATGTTTTGGGTTTCTTGATCTGAAGTGACTCACTTGGGAAATATATTTGTACCAGTCATGAATCATGATTGTAATGAAATTCTCTTTTCAGAGAGCACCAGACCCTAGATTTCACTTTGTTCATAAGGCTTCTCTTATCTTCGTCTGTCTGAAAGTATTTTTCACTTTCACACAACTGAGTGTAAAATTCAGAAGATGTGATTGCTTTAGGCATGCTTTAAAGAATTGTTGAATCAATTTTGAAATCTAGGTGCCAGAAAAAACGCATGATTATCACTCTGCATTAAAATTAATATCAAATGATAGTTGGAGAAAGAAGCAATGTTTAAAAAAATGCTGAAGTCTTTATAGTTGGGATGGAATGAGTGCTAGCTTTTATTGCTGGTTTAGTATTTTAGCTAAAGTTCCACAAAACTTAATGACAACAGGAAAAGAAGCACTTTAATAGCATTTTTAGGTCAAGTGTTGGTCACTCTTCAAAAGCCAGATCAACTGGAGCTAACATATGCTTTCTAATGGGTAGATAGGGAAATAGAGGATGCATACTGTGTGTACACGGGCTGAAACTGTTCTAGTAAGCACTGTCCTTTTTGGCTGAATGCCTGACCTGAAAACTCCTGTAACACTCAGTGAAGATGTAGAGAGAAAATGCTGTCTTGCCACTTAACTCCATCTTGTCATGTCTGATAATGATTCAGAACCCAGAATGTATTGATTCGGTGAGAGTCTCTCATGTTAAACTAAAGGCAAAATTCCTGTTAGGTTTCACTTCCTGCTTTTTTTAGTCAAGCAACCCTTTACTTAGTGAAGTCAAGGACATCTTGTCCATTTTGAACCTGAAAAATAGATTTAACAAAATAGGATGACTTGATAGGCTTTAATAGTAATATAGTAATAGTAATAATGTATTCTGTCATGACTTGGTACAGATATGCATTTAATGTATTTCTGTTTGTCTTAAAGTCTCATCTCCAACAAGTATGCCACATGTTCACATTTTTCAGAATGTACACAGAGCACAAGATGCCACTTAAAATTTCTTGATGGAAAAATCAATGCATAACAGAATTTTCTGTTTTGCGGGTGGGGGAATTAGTTAACTTGGCTTATGAGTGTGCTATGGCTGGCGCTTAGATCATCTAACTTGGAGCTTTATAGACTAAAAACCCCTCTGTAAAGATCCTTGTACCTCATGACTTGTGTGAACCACTTCTCAGCCTTAGACTGTACTCAAAACCCGCAGCACAATCTGAAATTACTTACTAAGCTCATGCAGATATTTTTTTCCTAATTTTTTTGTGTTTTTCCTTGGAAGGCTAAATGCAATACGTGAGGTGTTGATGCTGTCTCTCTTGCTGGAGTGAAGCTGTTCGTGGCATGTAAGTAAGAAGAGAATGCTGTTTCTTCCTTTAACTTAAATGGTATGCAGTTAGACTTCAACACGATTTCCATCAAATATGCTGTCTTTCCTCTCAGTTTAGGATATTTTTTTCATTAAGTCTCACAAACCTCTGTAGCTTGCTTAGGATAATCTCTTACTGGGATCTGTAGTTTGGCTAATGAACTTCATTTTTACTACTTTAAGTTACTACTCCATTGTGATAGCTTCTAGAACTATATGCCTGTTCCAGATGTGGTGTTCTGCTTAGAAGTGCTCTCAAGGACTCTGAGTCATCTCCTTGAAATTTAACCATTGGTCACTTACCTGTTACAGCATCCAAATAGGCATAAGTTAAAAAAAAAAAGGAAGTTTGCCAAAATAGAAGACTGTAGAATCTGTACAGATTTCATATCTCACTGCTGTCTATCCTTTTCAAAGACTTTTTAAAACTAACAATCATGTTGGACAGCAGGCTTTCTTTAATAAAATAAAAAATTATTTTTTGATGTAGCAACCAAATCTAATTAAGAAACATACCATGCAGGAAGATGAGTTAATTAAAAAAAAAAAAGTATTACCTCTTAATTACCACTTGTCTCTCTTCTGTGTAATTAACATTTTAAATATATGTTACATGGGCATTTAGGAAGAAGTTACTGGCCTCTCTATAAGACTTAAAATAACACAAGAAAATAATAAACAAACCCAAAGCAAAGCAAACACACCACACACTCCTCTTGTAGTGGAGTTTTGGAACAGCTGAAGGAGTCTTCTTAAACTGACTCTTGGTTATACATGGGCTGTCCTTTCTTAGGATTCAAAGAACTATGGCTAAGTCAATGTCAGTGCTGAGACAGCAGTTTCTCTTTTTTAGGTTTTGGTATCTTTACTGTGCAATAATTTTGTCTTGTTTGCTTGTCCATCCCCCTCCCTAGAATATTTTAGATGATGAGAATGAAAAGAAGAAATTTAAAGGAGACAGAATGTCAACGCTCCCTTTCACATGTTCTTCGTCTTCATTAAATTGCAAGTGGTGTTACTGAAGCAGAAGTCATTTCATTAAGCCTCCCTTTTGGGAAAGTAACCAACATCTTGATGCTAGAAGCAAAAAGTCAGGTATATAATTTTCGATGTTTCAATTATAAGAGCAAGGCTGAAGATGTGGCTCATGTAATGACCCTTTTGGTATTGCATTTGGCTGAAATGATTGCAACAGTGTCTAAATTTTTCATTGATAGCTCAAGATTTTAATATTTTCAAATGTGAAAGGATGTCTTGATATTTATTTTAAGTTTTTTATATACCTTTGGATTAAATAATGATCTAGTAACTTGTTCATAATATTGCTAAACATTATATCCACCTTATGTAAGAATACATAGATGATAAAGAACTATATTGCCACTACTGATGTCAACATATGTCTTGAAATAACCTGCCCATGCATGTTAACTTTTTAATGTGAAATAAATTGCTTGGGGTTTTTTTTTTTTAATCCTTTTAGATTTGACGGGGTAGTTCACATCAGGATTTCAATGTTTATTCATGAAATACAATAAGCATTAATTCAAAAATTGTCTGGAGTGCTGAGCTGGGTTAATATAATGCACAAACTGATGGATGTTTAGTGTCCTGTTCCTACTTTTTCAATCAGTGTGTCTATCTGCTACCTAGGTAATGGTGCTTGGATTCAGGAATCTAATAAATTCATTAGCAGTGTGGTATTTTTAGCGGCATTGCTTCCCATATGTCATGCTTATTCCACCTCTTCTTTAATGACTTATTGTAAGTACAATGAAAAACCTTTTAAGGAAACTGACAAATCAAATATCCCCACTAACACACACACAAATGCATTTTAATGCTGAGCAAATCAGTACTGTACTTTCACATGATCTTTTTCTAGTGAGAGTGGAATTGAGAATAAATAGTGCTTTGATGCTTTGTTCTCTCCTGCAAACAAAACAACATTGAAAACTGCGATGTATTGGTTGCAGGCATTTTTGGAAATGGCTTCTGAAGAAGCTGCTGTTACTATGGTGAACTGCTATACTCCTGCTACACCTCACCTTGTCAATCAGCCTGTTTATATTCAGTATTCTTATCACAGAGAACTTCAGACTGACAATCTACCTGATCAGGCTGTAAGTATAGTATTTCCTTTTAACAGGATAGAATTGCATGAGTTGTGTACTGCTTTTGGCTAGGATAGAGTTAATTTTCCTCTTAGTAGTCTGTGAGGCTTACATAGCATCAAGGCCTTTTCTGCTTCTCACATTGCCCTGCCAGTGGGAGTGCACGAGAAGTTGAAAGGGAACATAGCTGGGACAACTGACCTCAACTGAGCAAAGGGATATCCCACATCATATGACGTTGTGCTCAGCAGTGAAAGCTGGGAGAAGGAAGAGGAAAGTGGGACATTTGGAGTTACCATGTTTTTCTTCCCAAGTAACTGTTACATGTGATGAAGCCCTACATTCCTGGAAATGGCTAAACACCTGCCTGCCAATGGGAAGTAGTAAAGGAATTCCTTGTTTTGCCTTGCTTGCACGTGCAACTTTTGCTTTACCTATTAAACTGTCTGTATCTCAACCCGTGAGTTTTCTTACTTTTACTCTTTCGATTCTTTCCCCCATCCTGCTGGGGGAAGTGACCAAGCAGCTGTGTGGCACTTAGCTGCCTATCAGGGTTAAACCACAACATTAGTAAATAAACTACTTTCCACTGTGCCAATAGTGGATAGATATTCTGATAGATATTATTTCTGTCTGTTGTTATCTAAGCAGGAACTTCTTTCAGACAGGGACTTCTCAATATCTGTAAAGTTACTCTGGAGGAGCTCATGCTCAAGTATGGTTCATTCTGAGCCCAATAAAGATAAGCAAATAGTTTTTGGTACACTGACTAGTTGTTAGTCTAATATAACATTGTCATCATGTTGATTTGCTGGAAAATCTCTAGAATGACAAAAGCTTACTGAAGCAAAGCATAATTATGTCTATATGGCATTACAAAGTAGTAGCAGTTTAACTAAAAAAGAAAGTCATAATTCTGGGAAAGTATGATCTGACTTCTTTCAGGGGAGGAAGAGGTATGATTTACCTATTAATGTGGTATTTGAATTGATAATCAGATAAAGGGAATATGTTGGGGTTTTTTTTTAAGCTGCATTTTAAATGTATTTTACATGCTATTCTTTGTAAGAGAACTTTGTTTAGATATGAATAATTTGTATGTGTGTAAGTTAATTGTGATCTCTGCTATGTCATGATTTCAGAGAGCCCAAGCTGCTTTGCAAGCTGTGAATGTTATGCAGTCCGGATACCCAGCTGTTACAAGTGCTTTTGCTGCTCAAGGTGGGCTACTTCCAGGTCAGGGTTCTGTCCTTCGAATCATTGTTGAAAATACGATCTACCCTGTCACTCTAGAAGTGCTGTATCAGGTAATAAGGATTGCTTAAAAAATAGTTTAAATCTGTTCCAATGTTGCGATTGTAAATCCCTTAACTATTTTGTTTGCTTACTTTTAAAGTACCTGTGGATCCTTAATGAATGAGGACTGTCACTTTAAAATGATTTGTCGCAATTTAGGGATCTAGGCTTGAATCAGTTTTGCACAAAAAAATTCAAAGTAAGCAGGGCTTCTGTACTCAGCTTTTCAAGTTGTCTTTCATTTCTTTTAGTTCTTTGTTATCTGTGGAAGCAGGAACAAGCTTGAAGTGTTACTTCTAATTTATGCCCACATAATGAGCTAGTGAAATAAAATATTGATCCATAACAAAAAGTTAAAATATTAACACTTTTTGTACTGAGTAACTTCTGTAGTTTGCATTGTATTTTAGGATTTTATATTCACTTTTATAATTTGATGCAAATGATGTAATATACGAATACAGTTGCTTGGACAAACATTTTTGATTGTTCATCAACTGTTAGAATGCCATTTATTTAACTGCCTCTGAAAGCCTGGAATAGTGGTGGGCTGTAGCTATGAAAGACATTACCATAACTCCTGCTAGGTGGTTGTGCTATGCCTTTGAGAACTCTAAGTTTAAAACCAATAACTTTACGAGACTATTTCTTTGTGCCTGAAGAATTTTTCAATACTTTTTTCCAGATATTGGAAAAGGTTTCATATTTCAAGCTTTTGTAATTGTTAGTGAATTTGTGCAGTAAAAAACATGTCCCAAATATGAGTTTCTTAAATTAATGTGATTTAAAATAATTGGGATGTTTTTACAAGAACCTGCGGTCCTGGAAGAAGATTTTTGCTGCTCTACCAGCATCTCAAACAATAGTTGATTGTTACCAATGCTTTATTTTTGCTCTTACCTCTTAATATTTCCTCTTTCTCTGTATCTCCCCCACGTGATACTGATTAACTAGTATACTAGTTGTTGCTTTGATGTAGCAATTTGCCTGATCTAAACTTTTGTTTGTATCTGAGTGTTGTTCAGTCATTATAGAGCTTGTGCAAATACTATGTCAACTGTTTAGGATTATTAGTGCACTCAGAATAACCTGAGAACAAACTTCTGTGGTTATGGGAGCTGTACTAGCTTGTTTCTTACTAAGCTGGCAGTAGAACAGGAGATTCATGTTAATTTACTTCAATTTGATTAATGTTTATTTCAGTGCAGCAGAGCTATATTTTCAGTCTTTGAATTCCCTGATGGCCCTCACTCAACTACTTTTGCACTAGGTCTAGAAAATGAAGCAATATTTGAAAAGGGAGCTTATTTGGAGTTCTTAACAGGGGGCAATCTCCTCTAATTAAAGCAACACTTTGTGCCTAATAGCTACAATGTAACGGTACTTTGTAAGTGCGGTAAGGTTAATGGAAATGAAAATTTTCACTGGTAAGTATAGCATCATATGGAACACTATTAGGTAAACTGTAAACCAAAACTTCCATTGTGTTTTGTAAGTTATAACTACTTGTCAAGAAACTAACACTTTTTCTACCACAATTCACCTCAAAAATATTTATTATAAGAAAGAGAATATTCAATGTTATCTTTGCAGAAATAAAATTAATATATACAGTGGGTTTTAGGTTTAAAACCAAACAGGAATACATTGAATTTCATTATATTAAAAAGGTCTATTTAGTCTTGTGGATAAACATGGAAAAGCATATGTTCAGAAGCTGTATTTAGGCCTTTCTTAAGAGGAAGGGCTTTATGAACAGGAGCTCAATGGCTAATTTTAAATTGCTGTAAAAAAGGCTTCTGTTCTGTCTTCTACCACAGCACAATGACTGCAGCATAAAAACCTTATTTTTGAGTGACTGAAAAACTGGGCACAAGGGGTTAGGACAGTGTGTCTTGTATCCATGATTCTAGGCCTAATAGGCTGGCATGAGATGGTTGTCTTTATCTCTGGCCTTTCTTTCCATTCCAGGCTTAATACCTGTCTGAGAGGTTCTGCTTTCCTGACTTAGCATTGATTCTAACTGTTCTAAAACTGTTAGTACTTCCTAAACTCACCTTTTGTCCTCCACTGTTAATTTAGACATAGTTTTTCTTGCACTTGCACGATATGTCCTAGCTATACTTTTGTCCTCATTCTATGTGGCTTTATTTTGTATAGATGCCTTCATGTAGTGTGCACTCTCATTTTGAGTGAACATATTAATTTCAACCTTTAAAAATTTTTCTGTAGTGCTTGCATTTGCAATAAATCGGATACCATTCAACTGCAACTTAGAGGGGTAGGTCCCAAACTAGGTCTTTGTCTTGCTTCTTTCCTTCTTTGTCTTCTAGTTTGGACAGTGGGTCTGTGTAATTAATTTGTAGGCACATCAACTATTTGAGATGTATTTTTGGTCACCAAATTTGCAAAATTTGTTTGAAGTACAAAATGAAAGGTGGATACCTTGAAAGACAGTTTGCAATTCCTATCTCAATGAACTTGTGAAAATCCTTTTCTCAAACATCAACTTTGGTTATCCACAATTTCTGTGCAGACGCTGGATAAATGCCAGTTTGGGCTGACCTTCCCAGCTCTTAGTTCAACAGTCATTGCTAAATCTTTAAAGAAATTTTATCCTTCTTTCCCACCTTTTCGAGTCTCTTTTTACATTTTTTTTTTTTACCTGAAACAAAATTCTGAGTTCACTCAATTTCTGTTCAGCCCTCAACAAATGAAATAATTTTCAGAAATGTATATGAGGTATTAATTGCTAGCTTTTAGTATGCATGAATTATTCATTGTTTCTGAAAGTCCATCTTTTTTCCTTCTCAGATTTTCTCTAAATGTGGATCTGTCTTGAAGATTGTCACGTTCACTAGGAACAATCAATTCCAAGCTTTGCTCCAGTATGCTGACCCAATGAATGCATATTATGCCAAAACGGTAAGTGTACTGTATTCAACTTGATTTTTTTTTTTTGGTGGATTTTTTTGTGTTTTTTTTTTCTTTCTCCCAGGTAAACAGGGAACATTAGGGATAGCCTGATCATTAACTTTATGACTTCTCATCATTCTAACACTCTTGTTGCACGAGTAACTTTTACATCCCTCATTAGTTAAGAGGATAGCACTCTATCATCCACTGCCAACGTAAATGTATAGCACACATCCCAAGACCTGCACGAGTCTACCAAAACAAAAATCAGAGCTGCTAGTGATGAGACATGGTAATTGTCGCTGAACAAAAAGTCTTTTGCCTTTCAAACTGAGTGGAATATTTTCAGTGAGGTTCAATACTGAGAGTATTTAGAATTTTAGAATTAGTCTCCTTATAATAGCTAAATATTTTAATTTCTGGAAAATATTGTTAACTTCCTCAGTGGGGAGTAGTTTGATAATTAAATATTGAGAGCCAAGACCTCACAGATTTTTGCAGAAGGGAGAGCAGTGTTGCAAATCATCAGGTTATAATACTTGAACTGTGAAGTAAAAAATAAAGATAGAAAATAAAATACTTCACTTACTTGAAACTAAGCCTGAGATACTTTGTATTTCTCTTTAACCTACGTGGTCAACTCAATATTAGTAAATAAATAAAATCAATTTGAAAGTTCCCATAGAAAGTATATAGAAGAATAGATTCTGCTAAGTATTAATGGTAAGCATTCTGTTTTTTAAAAAAAAAATTACCAAAAGACTAGAGTCAATGGAACTTTTACCCTACTTTTATTATTGAAGTTGACTTTATTCTCAGCTTCAGAATTAAAGGCACAGAGTATTTATTGCTAATTGCACTTTAGTCCAGTAAGTAAATTCACTATGTGTTTTAGAGATTAAGTACATATTGGAAATCAGTAAAGGTAGTGGGGATTATAGCCTGTTTCTTAGCACCAGCATCTTTTCTTAAAGAACAGTATTAATAATAAATTATATCTTATTAAAGATTTCACAGTCTAGATTATATTAAATAATTATAACAAACCAATATCTTTTGAGTGTGGTTTTTTTTTTTTTCCCCCGTTCATCCATCATGATTCTTTTATGACTAGTATAGGCAGAAAATACTTCTTCAGTGATCTTTCTTAAGCATAGCTACTCTTAAGAAGATGGATTTTATAGAATCGCTTGGGTTGGGAAAGACCCTTAAGGTCAATGAGTCCAACCATAAACCTAACGCTGCCGAGTCCACCACTAAACCATGTCCCTAAGTGCCACATCTAGATGTCTTTTAAATACCTCCAGGGATGATGACTCCACCGCTTCCCTGGACAGCCTGCTCCAATGCTTTATAACCCTTTTTGTGAAGAAATTTTTCCTAATGTCCAGTCTAAACCTCCCCTGGCACAATTTAAGGATGTTTCCTCTTGTCCTGTCACTTGGGAGAAGAGACTGACCCCTCCCTGGCTGCAACCTCCTTTCAGGTAGTTGTAGAGGGTGATAAGGTCTCCCCTCAGCATCCTTTTCTCCAGACTAAACAACCCTAGCTCCCTCAGCTGCTCCTCATAACACTTGTGCTGTAAACCCTTCACCAGCTTACATAGGGACAATTCCATACAATAAAAATCTCCAAATTAGTATTGCTGCTAGCATCAGATATTGTGGTTTGAGTGGAAGACAAGTAAGATTAGAAGCACAGCTAGAAAGACAAGTCGTGCTTAAAGCTAGGTTTTGTCTGTTGGCACAAGGCGAAGTAATACTTACTAATTAGTGAACTACACGAGTACTCTATATGGGATGTTTAGGTAAGGATAGTGGCAGTATAATCGTCTACTTGGTGTCTAAAAGCTGCACCTTAAAAACAGAAGATGAATTTCTGTTTGGATACAATTGCGAGGTGAAAATAAAATAAATGTATAGTCGTGGCTGCCACTGTGTGTTTTGTCTCTGAAAATGTAATTATTTTTCTTCAGACTCTGGATGGCCGAAGTATCTACACTGCATGCTGCATTCTGCATATTGATTTCTCCAGGTTAACTAGCCTTACAGTAAAGTACAACAATGACAGAAGTAGAGATTTCACTCGCCTTGACCTTCCTTCTGGTGATGGCCACATGCTGGAGACACATAGAGCTGCTGGCTTTGGTAAGAAACCTTCACTTTTACTAATAAATACACAAATTGTGCTTGTTATGTTGTATTTACCCTCTGGCTTCATATCAGATTCAGAGAAGGATACATTTTGCATACATTTATATTTGTTAGGTCCAGTGAAGTTTGTATGGAAAGCAGGAAGTCCTACTCAAGACAAATGAGTATCTGAAACTATAACATAAGGAATGCTCTTGGGCAAATTCAAAGTGTTGGCAAAATCTGCATTTGTAAAATGCTGTAAAATTATATTATTGGTACAGGTAGTATAATAAAAGTTGCATATCAGAATGGTCAATGACAGTTATCCAAAGTTGACACTGGTTGCCTAAAGCTACTTGAAAATAAGTGTTTTAAGGATGTTAGCTCTTATTTGTTGATATTTTAGGATAACTGCCTGCTGTAACAAGCAAAGCCATAAGAAATGTAGAAATGCTACACTTTATGTATGTTTTGTAGTTACCTTCTAAAAGATAAAACTTCAGAAATTGTCTTGAATTTTAGAAGTCACTTCCATGGCATAGAGTGGACAGTATCTGCTTGAAGCCACACTGGAGTTGCCTTTTTGGCGTAAATAGCTCAAGCATGCTCATTTAATCAACTTTGGTAATAATGCAAATCCCCAAACAGATTACTCTGACCTGGCAGAAGTGGTCATAGTGCACTTTGAGTGATTTTAGCTATTTTTCTTTCTCTCTAATGACAGCTATTAGCAATAATACACAGCTAAGGACTGTCTCAGCTGTTGAATAGGTATCTAAGTGCCATCCAGTTGGTTAGAACAGTAGTAAGGGCTGGGGAAAAATTACCTTTTCTCGTTTAATTTTCTGTGATAGCTATGGCAGATAATGGGTTTGTTTTGGGTTTGTTTTGGTGTTGTTTTTTTTTTTGATAGTTGGCTTTGGTAGTTTAGAGTAAGAAAGTGAGTTGCATTCACTTTCTTGGTAGTTTTTGCTGGTCCCCTTAAAGGCAGGTGGATCTTTATGTGATGTTACAACCATCTTTATAATTTTTTTTAAGGATTTGCCGTACAGCATCGTGGAAACGTGCTGTTATAGATCTAATATGTTCTGATTAGACTTACACAATTTGAAGTGTCAGTGAAAAGGGAAAGTACAATTAGAATAGGACAAACTTGCTTGTAAGGCAGAGATAACATTGTACGCGTGCTTTTGGAGGATAACACATGAACGCTTTTCCATTTTCTTTCCCCTCACTCTTCCAAGCTTGTCATTGCTAGCAATCTCATTTTCAGTCTGAACATTTGCTGTAATAGTAAGAACAGCAGAGGTGCTGGTGTAGTCTGACGTCTGTATCAAAGTTTGTTTGTAGTGCAGTCACAGTGAAGCAACTGCATAGATAGTTTTCTTCTGAAATAAAAGTAGCTGTAGACTGGGAGAAGCATGCTTCTAGGCTCCCTGTCTGTGGTAACAACATGCATATGTTACCATAGGCATGTTCTGATAGTCCTCAGTTGCATAACATGAGGGAAAGCTGTTGGGAGTCATGTCAGCACTTACACTTCCTATGTTATTACTAGTGGATGTAGTTTTGGTGGAGAATTATGAGATAAAGTAGGTAACTATCACAATAATACATCTGTTTTTTGTGTAGACTTGAAGTTGTCCTAATGGCAAAACTGAACTACTCTTGAAACTTGGGGGGTTTTATCTCTCTCTTTTTTTTTTTTCCCCCTTCTTTTTTCTTTTGTTTTGTTTTTGGTGGAAAAGATATAAACAAGCAAATTTTGTGAATGTTTTGCACTTAAGGACTTCCCTAACTCAGTGAGCATAAACAGAGATACATACATTAGCTTGCTTTGAAAGGTAGCTGCTAGCCACAAAGCAAGTGATTTTACACATAAGAAAATGCAACAAAGAATTCCAGATCTTTCTGCATTAGCTCTGTTTGAGAATTTTTACATGACTGATTTTGGTATCAGTGTGCAACATGCAGGTCTTATTTGGCAGAATAAAAGCACTTTATCTATTTCTTCATTAATGCTTCCATTACTATTCTTGGATTGTGAATAAGTGATTAATACCTATATTGCCAGAACTTGTCAGTGTAATACACCAGTGTGTGTAATTCAAGAACACAGTGGCTTGCTTTGGTGTGATAAATGTATTCAGTTGTTTATATGAAAGATACATTGTTGCTACAGATAACAGGAGGTGTAATGTGATGCAGTATTCATGAATACTTGATCTGTGGTGTCTGTTTCATTTGTTGTTTTTGTAATTCATACAGGATACTTCTCATGGTATTGTATCATCCCTGGCAATAATCATCTGTTAGTGAATGTAGCTATTTTAGTCAATGGTGGAGGTCTGAGTAGTAAAACAGACCTACTGCCAGGCTTACAGGATGTATTTGCTGACTATACATGCCCCCTTTAAAAAAAACTCTAGTGTGCTAACATATGAAAGAATCCACAAGCTTGTATCTAACTGCCTCTTAGAACACAAGTTTGTGTGCTGCCCTGGGTAGCGCTTAACTCCACATACTAATGTGAAAATCACTGACTTACTTTCAAGGCTGGGACTGCCCATATGTTGATGTTCCAAATCTGTTCAATGCTTATGATTGCCAGGAGAACCATAAAAAACAGTGGTTATTTATGAACTAATACAACCTAGGAAAGTACATCTCCTTACAAAGCAAAATATGTATACTTTATGCATCTCAGCAGCTAGCAAAATTCAGAACCTCAGATTCATTGTAGTTGTTTGTATTATTTAGCCCATACTGCTTTTATAAATATCTAGGAAATAGTTGTATCTCATAATTGCAAAATGTCTTTCAGTGTGTTTACTTCCAGAAAACTTCTAGAATGCATTTCCACTGTGTGAATAAAAACTGTTGAACATCGCACCACAGGTGTTTTAACTTTCATGGATACTAATCTATACTGTGCTTTCCTGTTCAAACTTGTCTAAATTACATTTTTCCCTGACTTCATTTTAAAAGGGGACATTGAGGCTGATCGAAATATTTGCCTTCCAAAGTGGCTGAAAATTTTCTTTGTAAAACATAGAATCTTTGATTTCAATGAGAGTTTTTAACCCAAACATTTTACATAAGGTGTAATCACAGACTAAAGTCAGAATAGCAAAACTGGAAGCTGATTCTCATTGCTGGTCTCTTCTGTTTTCCAAAGGTTTTCTAAAATTTTTCTAAAATTTAAAAAATCTGTTTTAATTGAATGTGTCTGCTCTCTCTAGCCACCCAAAATTTCATCTTCCCATCATATGCTGGGGCTGCTGGGTTTGCCCCACCCATTGGCTTTGCTCAATGTGTTGGTAAGTTTCTATTTTCTAAAAATGTGGTGTTTGCATTTGGGACTAGTGATCTGTCTGAATACACCTGTATTCAGAGCAAATTGTTTCCAAGGATAGCAGTCAGAACACAATGTATATTACATTTGAATCATTCTAATTCTCTTTCTGAGATTATTCAGTAAAATTACTTTCTGTAATAAAAACCATATGCTGATGTAGTTTATAATTCAATAAGCACAGAAATTAAATGCTATGATAAAGATTACCTGCAAGAGAAGAAACTAAGCATCTGTTTTTCTAAGAATTGTAAGACTTCAGTGACATTCAAACCTAAGGCAGGAAGTGTCCCTTTTTCTGGCTATAAAATGAGAAATAAACAGTCTTCTAGATTTTTTCCTTTCTAGCACAGGATAAACTTGTGTGCTAAATTATGTTTCTTCTTTCTTGCACTGCAATTTATGTCCTTCTTTGTTTAGGTCTGTTGGTGTAGCTGAATATTTCTTCATCTCTGGAGGGGAGGTGCTTCCTCCTTTATTGGTCATATATTAGGAATAAGTAAATTCCTTAAAAGCATTGTTTTAACAAATATTGATGTTTTTGCTTAATGTAACCTGCTTTTGTCTTCTAAAACGTCTTTTCCACTTTGAGAAGTCAAGTGATCCTGTTAATACCCTTTCAGGTGTTCCAGGTCCAGCTGTTCCTGGAGCACATGGTTCTCTCGCAGGCACCATACCTGCAGCACCTGGACAGATTGCTCATCCTTATGTTCCTGGTGTTCCAAGAAATTCTGTTTTACTAGTCAGCAACCTCAACCCTGAAGTAAGTTTGATTGGTGGAAGTGATGCAAGTATCAACTTGCACCAACTGGCAGAATTCTTCTTGCAAATTGACATTAGCTCTGAAGGAGTAAGAGAGGAAATCTCTATGCTGATAATATAAAAAACCAGGACAGCTCTATTCTTGTTTGAGACAGTTTACAAGATAGAGGTTTAAAAACTCCAGCCAGCAGTGAAAAGATTCGTAACACAATTTACTTTAGAAAACCTATGTTAGCAGTGCAGCTAGTAATTACAGAAGAGTCTAATGGTCAGATGAGAGAAATGTTCGAAGAGGTATACAACATATATTATGACTACACTTACTGGCATCTCTGTTAATATGACTCCTCTGTGTGCTACTTTATCATTAGAGAAGATAAAGAATTCTTCATTTGTTACAAAACATGAGGAATTAGAGAAACAGGAGTGAAGAGAAAAGGAGATAAAAGTACGTCAAATCAAGTACCTTTCCAAACATTGATAGGATATAGTTTTGCAACTTTTCCCAGGTTGGAGAGGAAGAACATAGGTGCACTTTGCCATTGACATGACTGTAAATCCATTTTAAAAGTTAATAAATACACATTTTCACTTTTCATAGTACCACACAGATTTTTTTTTCATATGTGGGCAGTAAAATTGCCAAGGACACTTGTATAGTTATTTTTATAGTGGAAATTACATAGACTGTTCTATAAGCTTACTCCTGTTACTGAAATATTACACATTGATCTGTGTTTAATTAAAAGCAATGTACATCTTTTAAAAAAAAATAAATCAAGTTTACTAAGACCATGACTTAAAACAGAATTCTACTTGTCTGTTGATAAACACTTCTATTACAGCAATGTAAAATTCTTGTTTGTTTTACACACATTAGATTCACTTAACCATAAAACTGATAAAATTAGGAGTTATTGGCAAAATGAAAGTTTGAGGCTTAAAAATCTGTTGACCAGTTCCTTTAATCTTTAAGTAATCGCTGTTTCTACTTTTGTACTAATAACTGAATTCCACAGTAAGCATTAAATGAAACAGCTGTAGATTAGAACTATAAGACAAGTTTTTTTCTTTAATTTATCTATATATCTTATCAGTCAATTTCTGGTGATTGCTGTGGATGTGTTTTCTGCAGCTGATTATTCAAGATGATACTCTGAGTCTTAAAAGACTGTGTTTTTTAAGAATAAGCATAGGTCAAAGCATTTTTAGGACATTGCTGCTTTACTTAATACTAATCATACCTAAGAAGATGTTATGTAGAACTTTGTGCTGCAATGCGTGATACAACATAAATGCATTAAATAATGCTTAACTTCTTAAAAGGTAAAAAAGAATATACAACATTAATTGTTGGAAATATAAATAGTTATAAATACATTACTTGGCAGCCATGTAGCACTTGTTCTTCAGTAGTGGTTGTCTAAGCCCTGCCACTTCTTTGTCTGTGTATAGAAAATCTGGTAGACCTTATTTCAATTTATATTTCTCCCCTGTTGCACAGTTTCAGTGTGTATTTGAACATTGCTTCATGACTTTTAAATTAGCTAGTTTTATGTTCCAAAAAACCCATTTTTTAGTAGAAATATTGCAGTCTCATTTGGTTAAGAGATTTATTTAAATAAACTCTGTGCTGAATGAAAATATTTGGGCTAGAAGGATAAACTCTAGAAGCATTTAAATTTTACATTGATAGTAATTGTTCCTTATTCCTAAATGCTGATAACGAAAGGGGATGGGCCTACACTTAGGCTGGAGTATCTTCTCTTTTTAAATAATTTAGGTATGTTTGGTACATCCTTCAAATGTTGTGAGTTGAGAAGGAATAAGTCTAGAGAGTGTGAGTAGTGCTTCTGATACTCAGGTATTTTTAGTACTCATTACTGGCAAAACCTTTGCATAAGTTGAATAAAATTTGGCTGCATTAGGATGTAAACTATCTTCTTTGGTCTTTGGGGAGCTTAGTACACAAAGATTTAATTAAAAATCACTGAAGAAAAATTATCCCTTTTAATATTTAGCTTTCTGTTCACAGCTTCTAATTGACCACAATTTAAATACCACTTTCTATATGCTTCGTATATAAACAGTTAAATGGTATGTGTATCACTTTAGCATGTCATGGTCATGTACAGAGGTGGGTACAAAATAAAAGACAAAGCAAACACATTTTGAAGTAACCGGTTTTAGTTCTGCAGGTGTCTGCTGTTTAGAAAATACAAAGGACTTCTTGAATGCTCTTTTCTGTTTCTAGTTTAGCAAATGTCTTTTATTTTTCAGGGAATGAACTGCTAGCTTGGAAAGAATAAATTCAAATAATTAAGCCACTTAAAATACTAGTAACTTGACATGACAGACTGAGTCTTGGGTGATGAAAATGCATGAGCTGAAGTGTTAGCTTGTTTAAATATTTTATATGTGCATAGCAAATATATATTAACAAGAATACTCTACACTGTAGTTATTGCAGGAATGGCTTTTGGAGAGACAGCTTTATGTATTTAGTGTGCAGTATCTCTTCCATTCTTTTTGTTTTACCATGCACTTACAGAATAGGTTTCTCTATTTGCATGCCTTCAAAAATAATATACTCATTTTATCATTTAAACAGGCCATCACACCACATGGACTTTTCATCCTATTTGGTAAGATAAATCAAATATACCTTGAGAAACTACAGGGCTAGCATGCTTTTTTTATTTATCTGACACATGCTGGTGAATGCAAGCCCCATTGTTCTGTCCTTGTCCAGAAAACACACAAGAGAATGCACTAGTTTTAAGATTACAGTAATTTGAGTCAGTAGTTGTAGACCATAGGTACCAAAAAGGCAAAATTGTTACAGTGTCAGAAGAATTTCAGTGTGTGGTCCAATTTGTTTACTACAAAAAACAGAAAAGCAAAATAAGATGGAAAAAAAAAAAAGATTGCATCAAAAGAAATAGACTACAGAATTGGCATGTACATTGGTTCCAGAGGACACTGTGTATTAGCATAGTAATATTTTAATATGCCTCTGTTAAGAGGACTTCAACAGTGTTGATTTGAAAGCTGAACATCAACATACAGTTTTGCGACTAAGTTCCTTGAGGTTTTTTTACCCCGTTTTCTGACCCTCAGAAAATAATACAGAAACTTAAAGCTCTCCTTCGTACTAATATTCTAACCAACCTGTTTAATGATGTGATGATTCTTTGTAACACTGAAGTTAGTCAAAAGAAACAGACTTGCCCTTGTGCTATTTGTAGTAATGCTCTGGAAAAATTTCCTTTCTGGATTTCCACAGGTGTGTATGGTAATGTGCATCGCGTGAAGATCATGTTTAAGAAAAAAGACAATGCTTTGGTTCAGATGGCAGATGCAACCCAGGCTCAATTAGGTACTGATTTTTAAGGCACAGTTATGCTTCAAATTAGCATGAGTGTGATATAGATAAGGAATTTGCCATCTGTCAGTTACAAGCATAAACAAATTAAATCCATCATTGTGATGCTTTACTAATTACAAACTTTTCCTTGTATACATTGATAATGATCTGTTTGCTTTCATATAGACTAATTATTTTCCTATAGTGATTTAAAAAAACCCAAGCAACCAAAACAAAAAACCCCAAACCCCTGTGAATCTCAATTTAGTAAATGTTAGAATTAAGACATCATACAATTTTCCCGTAGTTTGTCCTATATCTAGCTATTTAAGTATAATAAGCTGCTCTTTATTGAAATGCTGTTTTGCATTTTTGTTGTATTTAGACTGGAGGTTATATTACATCCTTATACTTGTTTTAAATATAATGTTATGACATAGCCCACCTGGTGGACATGGAAGTTGCAGTTTAAATTTAGAATGTGAAATCTGACACTAAATAGAAGACAATATTAGTATTCAAAGAATCCTTGTTTCTTCCCCTCCCTTCATTCCTGTTCAAATTATGTTTCCATTGGTTAGCTATAAGCCACTTGAATGGACAGAGGATTTATGGAAGGGTCCTCCGTGCTACTCTTTCAAAACATCAGGTAGTTAAACTTCCTCACAAGGGACAACTGGACCAAGATCTGACGAAGGACTATAGCAATAGCCCTTTACATCGCTTTAAGAAGCCCGGTTCTAGGAACCTCCAAAATATCTTTCCTCCATCTTCCACCCTGCATCTCTCCAACATCCCGTGAGTACCTACATGTGTGATCTTCTTGGAAACATGTTTTTTAGGTTATGTTCGTAAGTTAAAATCTGACCTAAGTTTTAAATTTCCTTGGTCTTTTACAATTCCCTGAGAATTTGGGTCATTCTGCCATGTAATTTACAAGAAGTGAATCCTTTAACTGTCGCTTTTTTATTGTTAGCAAAGCGGATAACCAATTGAATGCTCCTCTTTAAGAGTTTCAATACAGTTTACATTTTCTTGAGAATATGTTTTTGGTTTTCATTTATTAAGTCCTACGTTATGAATTTTCACGAAGATTAAAGATGTGATTTTTGAGATAATGTGCTAGAGTTACATCAAACTCATCATTGGCACTGTTATTTAATGTAGATACAGTTTTTAATCATTCTGAAACTTTTAGAAGAACAGTTTCTACAGAATTTAGACCTCTTACCTAGAGGGGAAGGTTGTTTTTTTAAAAAAAAGAAGTATTGAGAAGTGTGTTCTTTAAAACTGAAACAACCTTTTTTTCCTGTCTAGAATGTGTGGAGTAACAGGCAAACCTAAGTTTTTTTACAGGCTTCTTTTGTTCAGCAGCTGTGCAGGGAGGGAGAAGGGAGAAGTATGGAATTTTGTCCAAATAAGAAAAAAAAATATAAGACACTTACAAAATGACTTTTTAAGTAAAATAGAAAACTTTCAAAACTGAAAATATGTGAAGCACGCTCACAGTAATTACAAGATGAAAGGTATTTCTGAAGGCACTGGTTAAGATCTTGAGTGATTTTTATGCAATCTGAATTTCACTGAGGGAGAAACAGAGGATAATGAAAAGCAGTAAAGTGTATCTGAAATATTTTTGTAGCACCACAGTGTGGTGCTAAATGTAGTGTCAAAGCCAAGAGCCAAAGCTAAAGTGTTGACATGGCTTGAGTTGGTGGAGGTTGTTTTTGCTGTTCAAGTTTAATTTAGAAGCCAGAACTGAGATTTTGATACTATTACAGAACTCTCTGCTCTTTTACAAGTTGAAGGGGTTTTGGTTTTGTTTGTTTGTTTTTTTAAATAGGCCTTCTGTTACTGTTGATGATCTGAAGAAACTTTTTGCAAGTACAGGATCTACTGTGAAAGCCGTCAAATTGTTCCAGTAAGTTGTCCTGTAAAAATGCTGAGCAAACTTTCATCCTGAAGATGGCTAATTGCTTTTTTGAGAAATTGCTTGTGTGTATAACTCTAGGCAAAATTCCATGTGCTTATATCTATAAGCAAAAGCTATACAGCTATGACAATTTTTATGATAATTCTAATCTTAAAATTTTAAATGGGATACTATGCTAGCATAATTAAATGAAAAATATTCAGCCTTCTGACAAATTCTATGTGTGTTCAAAGTAAGATAAGTTTAATGAAAGTAAATACTTGCTTCTTTAAAAAGAAATACAAGCTGTGTATATGTAAAATGTCATATAAAAGATGACAATGAATCCACTGTAAGGTTGCTTGGCAGCATTATTTTAGCATGATCATACCTGCTAGAATAACCCCATGTATATTGACAATACAAGTGTTTCTTAGAGGTCTTCAAGCCTTATTTCAACCCTGTTTTTGAAGTGCAATGTAGTAGAAGAATGACGGCTCTAGGCCATTGATCTGCAAAATTTGTATAGTTTTGTTATCTTTTCATTTTAGCAGGTGCATAACTAGCTCTGATTCTTTTGCTGTACAAGTGTTCAGGGTGTGTGATGTGGCTGAAAAAATACTTGTGCCACTTTTTGGTGTTGGCTAGTGTAATGAAAATTTGGTTAGGATTAACAATTGTTTTTATTGTACTTCAGGAAATGTTCCAGAATGGCTTTTATCAAGCTGGGCTCTGTGGAAGATGCAGTTCATGCTCTTATTGAGCTTCACGATCATGACCTTGGAGACAACCATCACCTCCGAGTTTCTTTCTCAAAACCTACAGCCTGACTTTTCTGTCAACTTTCCTTTTAAGATTGCATCACAGTTTTAGTAAGATCTTCAAATAGAGATCTTCAAACAGGTGTGACCAGCTCTGCCTCTTAAAAGAAAAAGCTCATTCATGCACAAAGAATTGTGTTATTATCTTTTCTGATTTTACCTGCCAGTATGGGATCAAAGTTTAATATTCATCCATAGAAAGATTATTCTGTGAAATTGCTTTAGCAACACTATTTATCATCAATTTTCCTACTTAAAATTGTATTTCGAGAGCATTCTCTTAGCTTTTGTTCGAAATCAGCCTTACAAAATATTTTAGAGTGCTTTTACAGTATACCAAATAAAGAGTCATTCTAACAAAATGGTAAATCTACTGTACACAGATTAAACACTAATTTGAATGTGAAAGAGTGCTTGAGTTTCTTGAAGAAAAGCAAGCATTGACTGTGAATGTCCTCTAAATAGTACTTATATTGCTAGGAGAGGTGTTCATATTTGGCTAACCTTTACAAATAACTTCTTTTAAAAACAAAAAGTCTGTACTGTTCATATGAGTTAAGTTATTAGAGAAAAGGCAGTGCCTTCTCTCTGTGGAGTAAAAGTAAAAAAGTAAAAAATTTGACAAGTTTCTTCAAGATGTGGTATCAGAAATTTAACTTGATTTAACCATGGAATGGAAGTTTGATGTCTTATTTCTACAATGAAGTGATGTGTAATAGCACTTTGGAGAAAATAAGACAAGAAAATAGTCCTGATTTCAAAGAACTTTTTACATTTCTTTAAAGAATAAAATGTCTACAATCTTATGGAAAATATTCAGGTCTATGATGGTTTGAGAAGTTTTTAAGAAGTTATTTTTGTTGAGGTCATCTTTGGGGACAGAAAAATTAAACCTCAAGAGTTTTTTTGTACCACTATAATGTCTAATACTTAAATTACTGTGTATTTTCTTAATTTCTTATGTGCCTTACTATGTGCTTCAGATACAATAGCTTAAAGTTTTATCTATCTAAGGTACCTTGAAAAATATATTGAGCTTTGTGAAAATTCTCTTCTTTATCTTTCTGGGAATGTTTTTCTTGATACTTCAAAATATATTTTTTCATTACCTAATACTCTGAATTCTGTCTTGTGTTTTGGTATAGAGATTGGATAGAGGTAAGAATGAGGTTTAACTCATTGCATAATCATGTGGAGATTCTTTGAATTTACCTGGTTACAGTTGTCTGATATTAGTACTTGGCTGAAAAAAAAATTCACACCCAGAAAAATGCACTAAAAAAACACCTAAATAGAAAGACCAAACAACAAATTCACTCCAGTTTCTGGACTTCAACTAACTTTTCGAGAGGTATTGGCTGTATCAGAATATTATGCATTTTTTTTCTCAGTATTAAACTTCACATAATAAAGAGCTATCATTCTTTCCTTTGTAAGTATGAAAAAAAATTTGATAATGAATGTCCATTTCTCTTTGGAGAATGAGCTAAGATGCAGTTAGTTTTGATGTTGAAAGTACGTATGAACTTTAGTGACTTCTAATTGAATTTTAAAAAGTTGAATTTCATTTTAAGGTATTTTTCTTTCTGGTATTTACTTAACTACCTTTTAAGGAGGTATTCCTCTCAAGCATAGCATTTATTTACTTCTAACTACTGCAGAATTTGTTTCTGCTGTAATGTTTTGCCACTGTTCCTTTTTTTTTTTTTCATGAATTTGTATGAATTGTATAACTTTTTTCTGTCTTTCTAGAAGAAAGGGCATGTTTCTACCATGATCTGAGTATTCTGGAATAAACTCTTTCAAATTTTCTCTCTGAATTATATTTGCAAAATCAGCAAGATACTAGCTTGCCTTCTTTTAATGTATGTAAATTAGAGGTGCATCAGCCAATCATAGTAAAAATGGTGCCAGACCTCTATACTGCAACAAAAATGTGCTACTTGATAGTAGATAAAATGCTGACTAAGTACATATGTAGCTATAACAAGTGCTTTACAACACAAGTAATCGGAATGTACTATTTACTGGAAAGTTAAATTGGTTTAGGATTAATAGACAATGTTATCTTTGGGATTTGAGAGAGTCTTTTCATTTTCCCCTTTCTGAAATAGCTAATTCAGTTTGAAGTTTGAAAGCGAATATTTGGGTTTTTTGAATTCATGAAAACTAGTAATTGTGTGATGTCAGAGCACCATATTAAAAAGTTACACATTTATGATTTTAGCAAAGTGCAGTTGTAAGCAGTTGTTCATCTGCATAGGCCCTTTTTCATCAAGATACTTAATTCGAATTCATGTCTGTTTTACCTTGTTAGCAGTCCCATTGATATCAGTTAGCAAGAATCTTGCTGAACTGGGAATGTTCCTTGTTTACTGCACATAAATTGGTTTGATATTACTAGGCCATTATGCATAAAATATGCTTTATCACTTTTCTTAAGAATTACAGCTACAGAGGAGAAGAATCATATTAGATCTGAATGTAACTCTAAAGCAGGAGAAAAGGAACCTTAAATTTGAGAGCTAATATTGGCACATATAATATCAGGAGTAGTATATGTATACTGTCAGTGTAATATGTTATATGTGTACACAAAAATGTGAATCACATGCACTTTATTTTATTGACTCTGATAGCAGAAGATGAGAAAGCTTAATCAAACATCAAGGGATGAGGGCCTCTGACATTCTCTCGAAAAGAAAGGAATAATTTCTCAGTTAATGTTAGAGTATAGCTAATGTCAGCTCTGGAGTGTTTGCAGTTTGAAATGTAGAAACCTACAGTTTAAATTAGCAGAGATTAACAATTTTTTAATTTTAGAAAAACCTGGGTGATGGGTATTTATGATGTTTGCTTTTTGGTCTTCTGATACATTTATTATGTATCTTTAAATTATGCTTTGTTGTTCTATTTCTGCAGTTGAATTATTCTTGTCAACTTACTTTTAGATTAGTGTATATCTTAAAGATGCTGCCTCTTAGAGAGGTCTGCTTTTACAAGAAGACAAGCAGACAAGCTTCAAAAGTAACAGTACATAATATTTGCTTAGCAGAATGAGGGCACTAGTTAAGGCTGGTTTATCTCATTCAGTATTCTGCCTTGAATAATTAAAAGCAAAAACATAACCCCTTGTTTATCATAATGCATTGTCAGTGAAGGATCAGGACAAAAGGAATAATTCTTATACTTTGTGCTTGACTCATTAGTGCCTAGCTGCAAAAGCACTGTTGCATCTCAGGTCTTGATTTTCTAAAGCATATATGAGCAGACCTCTTGATGTCTGTGAAAACAGCAGGATTTGGGACAGAATGGGATTATTCTGCAGATTCTTACAATGATGTAGATTGGAAAGTAACCTCTGGAGGCCTTAATCCTGTGTCTCACTCAGATTAGGGCCAACTTCGAGCAGTTGCTCAGAGAATTGTCCAGGTAGGTTTTCAGTACTTCCAAGAATGGAGATTTCACAAATTCTCTGTTCTTCTCACTGTTTCAATGTTTGACTGCCCTCATTGTGAATTTTTTTCCCTAATATGTAATTAGGCATTAAACATACTGCATCCTATGTTTGTTGCCTTTTGTCCTGTTAATGGAGATTCTGACTCCATCTTCTCTGTACTCTGGCCTTACATTGTCAAAGACAGGTTCATAATTTCTTTAATATAGGTTCTTAATTTCTGTTTGAATCATTTGTGAAGTATCTGGTAATGTGCATAGTGTAACCGGAACTTGTACTCTAAAACACTAGTGGTTATATCCTAACTACAGGTACTGGAAATGGATGAGGGTAGAGTTCTCTGCCTATGTGTATGTCAAGTCCACAAATTAGTTCTGGATTACCTCTAGCTCCACTTTTTCTTTTTTTTTTTTTTTTTTTGGTGGATGTGCACTTGGTTCAAAGTGTAGTAAGGCCTTTTTAAGAACCCAGGAGCATCTTAGTGCCTTTTCAAATAACTTCTGATTTGTTGCATAATGGTAAAACTTTTGCTTCTTTGAATTTCTTCAAATGTCTTTGAAGATCAGAACAAATTTCTGAAACTTTGATTAATAATTTGACTTGGTTGTCTTCTCTGCTGCTCCTGTCAGTTGCACTTTGTTTTGGTGCACTGATAGATTGAGGTCCTTTTTATGCCTAAGGTATTCCATATATCTGAGGAGATTTGCCTATATATGAATTTTCCTATTATTTGCACAAAGATTTTTAAAAAGTGTAAGTAGTACCTGAAAAAGATGGTCTGTTTTCAGCTTCCCATTTCTAAACTTACTTGTTGATTGGTTTTCTTCTATACTCTTCTGCTTGTCCTTCTGTGTGTTACACAACACTAATTTAGGCCCTTTTATTCTTGCATCCAAAATTCAGGATTGATGGTAAACACAGTAGTCTAATGCAATAGATACAAGTATGTGGGTGATGTGGGGGGTGCATTGCCTCTTTCTGAGCTAAAATCCTCAGCCAGTCTGGCACGGATTTAGTTATCTGCCATCAAATCCAAGCCTAGCAAATCTTGAAGAATCTGAAGTCTCATACATGTACTTAATGACTACCTGTGTCTCAAGGCTAAGACTAGAGCACCGAGCAAATCTAGTGTAAACTATGCTATTACCTGCCTCTGAATGTAGATGCTGTTGTAGGGAGAAAAATCTAATTCAGTTTAGACTGGGTTGCAGCTCTCAGTAAAATGCTTCTTCTCTGAAGGCTAGATATGTAGTCCCAAGTGTAAGTCTTGATTTTGTCCTTGATACTCAAATATTTGATAAGCATTCTGGATAAAATGCTAGCTTTTGGTGGCTAAAATCTGTCTGCTTTTTTTTTTTTGGCCAAATCTTCCTGAGGAGTGTGGGTAGGAGAGTAGAATTCTTACCTGTCTCTTTCTCCCCTTACTCCTTAACCAAAAATTAAATCCTATGTCAAATTCTTGTCTGCTGTTTTTGTACCCCTGTAATATAATCACAAGTAATTTTTTTCCCTAAGTAGTTAATATAAGTGTCTATCTTGGAAAATTAAAAAC